TCTGCGAGGATCGCTGGGGATCGGTAGTAAGTATTCCAAACTAAATACTAAATCAAGTGACTACAAGTGCTAACAACATCGACAGGCTACTTTCGATGGCGTCAAGTGCATACAGAAGCCTGGCAACGTGATCAGCGGTGACGACTTTTTCACCGCGTGTAAGCTTTACGGATACATCAATGGCTATCAACAGTGGGAGAGGGGTGCGGGATACCGCGGCACTTGCTCTTGATGCCTGTAGAATTGGAGTTGCCATAGTAATATTGGATTTATCATCGATAACTTCCCGCCAGAGTCTGCAATGCGGTCTACCGACCAACGCTGAAGAGTGTTCGACATGATATTCTCTATAACGAATTAAGCCTAGAGACTCGGCGAAGGGGCGGCGCGCGTGACTTGACGAACGTCATGACTCAACCAAAAAATCACGCCTCCTGGCGACAAGCCCTCGCCAAGTTCCATGATACTTCAAGTTATCATGAAGTCGGCTCTTGTATCTCGTGCCGAAGAAGACGGCTGATAGAGAAGTGCGATTATGAGACGAACTCTTCATGTACCTGGTCCCCAACATGAGGGTTTTGTTGTTGTCAGTAGAGAGTAGGAGGTTGATCACCTGGCGCCAAGGGAAGCTTGTCTAAGAAGCCCACAAAACTGTGCCGTGCCCTGAGCTGCTGGAGATGAATTCACTCAAGAGTGGAACCGGGCTTTCGCTTCTTAGGTTTAGAGTTTGTTCAGAGAAAGTGGCCAGTTCTTCTACCTACTAATGAACACGGGCCATTGTTATGGCAAGATTCGAAAAATCGAGCGTCACTTCTCGATGGGTGGAAGGTCAAGGCTGAACAGTAGTCATGCGCTTGACATCGTTACAATCTATTGTCTATCTTGAGTGGGAGTCAATAAGGAGCCGAATGACTGTTTAGGGTAATGGGCTGTGACTGAAACTCGCTGTCAACATAAATTCTGCAACGAGACACGACCAATCGTGCAGTTTATGTTGCCTCTTAGCCGTGGAACCGACCCAATTCGAAAGCGGTGGGATACTCTTTCCATAAACTAATGCCGATGGTTGTACGGCGGGGTTTCACTTGATCGCAGAGTTTTCTTTGCGCCGAACTGTTACTTGCTGGACGCGATTCAAACAAAGTCGATCTTCCCTGGATTCATGGCACGTATTCAACTATGGGTGGTTTGAAGGATGATTCGGAGTAGTCCTTGAATGATTGTTAGCAAGGGTCTGCTTGCATGTTGGCCCCTGTCAGGCGAGCGCCGCAGGGAAAATGAGAAGCATAATCTTAAAGTCGAATTAGCGGTGTCTCAGCGCTGTGTACAGAAACTACGTTAATTAGCGGTGCTCACGTATCCGTACAGAAATCTTCTCAACCGTCATCGTGCGTATCGTGTCAATGATCATGCGCGGATAGGGCGGCAACTGCTGGTTCGACAACCGAAATTTGTCAGAATCTGGGCTTAAGCTGCGGCAAATTCCCACCAGGACGATCGTCCACGTTCAGGTTCCAATGGCCATAAAAAGTCGTTGAGCTCCAAGGCGAAGATTTCCTGTCATGGCACCATAAGATAGTGAAAAGTACCTGGACATCGAGAGGATACAGGTCTTTTCAGCCCGCACGGCCCCCCACCCCCCTTCTGGACCCGAATAGGATAGGCGGGCGACTATGTACTCAGTTTCTGCTCACTGTTGACAGCCAAGGAGTGCACGAATCGCACGCTTTGGGCGAAGAGTGTGAGGCTTGTAGTATCCGTGCAAGTATCCCTAATACGAAGTTATGGACTCCTAAGAGAGATGACAGTAGGTGTAATGCCACCTTAGAAAGACCAATGATTTACAGACGCACTACAAGAAAGGCGAAAACGAGCTGTTAGGTACGGCCCGGGGTTCGGGCTAGACCGATAGCCCGACCTTACGCCATACTTGCAACTCTACTGGAACTTAGGTGCTTAAGCAGCCTGGGCTACGCAATCGTGGAAGGCATTTCAGAAATGAGAAAGTCATCGGAGTGATGGGTTTCTACCGAACCTGTGGCTCTTCGGAGCCGCGCGGTGGGTTCATGGCCAGCTTCTGATGCGTTGATTTTGCGCAACTGGCAGCGTCAAAGGGAATTCTATCCGGGCACTGGCCATTCATAGAGAAGTCCGCCGAGAGCCCGGCACGCCGACCCAGCCCGGAGGAACCGCTGATTCAGCGGCGACCCGCTCCGGTTTTAACATAGTCGGCATCGTGACAAAAGACCTGAGACACCGTGGACAGAAGTCCGGCTCCCCGCTCAAGCTCGCTAAGCATTTTACCGCGGTTTAGACTAGCCCATGGCTGGACGGATATTGGCGGGAGGCTCGATGCGGCTTGGCGTAGGAGAGATCCCGTGTGGATCTTCCCTTTCCATGCCGCATAGGGGAGCTCTAGCGGATCGGAGGACGTACTGCATCGCACAGTTGTATCCGTGTACAGCTCTGAGAGCGAATCATCAATCCCGGATTACGGAAAGCATATTCCGTCTAAGGGAAGACGAACCCCAACTGCCAAGCTCAAGCGGTAGTGTCACAGAGAACTCGCTGATGGAGTGTTCAGCACATCATTGTCCGAACTACAAGCTCTCCCACCGCGAGTCTCACATGTTCTGACATTTCTGCAAGGAGGGAGGGGTCTCCAAACAGCCGGCCCTCGATATTGATTGAGATAATGGGTGTGAATACTCGATCTCAGAGAGATAATTCGTTATAGAGGACGTTAGTGACGAGGCGCGTATGGAGCTGTTCAGGCTTATTGGGCTGCTTGTTCTAATCAGGGCTAAGACGAAGTATGAGGTACATCCTGCATGCCGTCAGTTATGGAAAGTGACTTATGCGTTTGCTTCAAACACAGGCCGCGCATCCCCGCAGCCCCAGATCTGTCGTGACCATGGATTAGACGCTTGCTTCAGGCCCACGTAAGACTTCGGGAAGATGCCTATACTCCGCCCGAGCGGCGAGTGAAGGGTGAACAGGTTTTCACTTCTTATCGTCGCTCCGTACTAGCGCCTCCTTGACGTCAATACAGGCTCGGATGCCTGAATACGACTTTACTGTAAGTTACATAAATACTAATTCATTGCCGCCTCTGATACGGTTCTGATTCCCAACATGATCGCAAGTTATCAGAATCATTTGCAGCCTGGTAAACGTTACTATTCCACACAGTAGACTACTAGTCATGAACAGAGCCGGAGCCGTACGCTCTCAGGTGGGAGAAGCGAGATACTCTCTCGATGGCTCGGCCAAGCCTCTTTCATACTTCTTTACGACTGTTTTACTCATCATATTCGTTTACTCCTTGCAGGGAACAAAGCTTAACACTCCCTCCATTAACCAAAAGGGAAAATTCGAACTCACGGACAGCCGCCCCAAGAGAAATTTCCTTTTCAATGCGAGGAAGTTGTTGCAGCAATGGTTTAACGCAAATCCAAACAAGCCCATTCGGATGATCAGCGATATGGGCAGTACAATTGTGCTGCCTCCGTCGATGGCGAATGAAATCCGCAACCATAGTGACCTCAGTTTTACTGCGTTTTCCCAAGAGGTTCGCTAAGCCGTCCCTGATAGCCTATCACATCAAAGAAAACCGAATGATTCTGATTAATCGCCTACTCTACCCAGTTCTTCCAAGCGAAATACCCCGGCTTCGATCCATTTGCAGAGGGGGGAAATGACAGCATTACGTTGGTTGTCATCAATAAAGACCTTACGAAGCAGCTAGGTAAGAACGAAAAACTCTAATCATTCTTCCATGATGCTGACGATGTCATTACAGCAAAGGTTACGGAGCCCTTAGCCGAAGAGACCTCTCTTGCACTTCTCAATATTTTTACCGCAAACAAAGGTAAAGGAAACGCTGGGAGAAAGTAACAAGGATAGTTCACTGACATTGACCAGAATGGCACTCCATCCCCATGCGGGCAACCCTTCTACACTTCGTCGCCCGTATTTCTTCACGCGTCTTTCTCGGCACCGAACTCTGCCGCAACGAAGCTTGGCTCGAAATCACCAAGAACTACACCCTCAATGGCTTCACCGCTGGCGACCGACTTCGCGAATACCCTTCATTTCTCCGGCCTATTGTTCACTGGTTCCTTCCCGGATGCCAGGAAGCGCGCAGACAGATCAAGACAGCCGCAAAAATCATACAACCCATCATCGACGAGCGAAAGGTCCTCAAGGCCAAGGCGATCGCCGAGGGCAAGCCAGTGCCTATCTACCAAGACGCCATTGAATGGTTCGAACAGGCATCCAGATCCAAGGGTACTGCGTATGATCCTGCTTTAAGTCAATTGTTCCTATCAACGGTTGCTATCCACACCACTACCGATCTTTTGGGCCAGGTTATGGTTGATCTAGCGAAGCACCCCGAGGTCATCGACGAACTGCGCAAGGAGGTTCGGGCCGTTCTCCAAGAGTGTGGCTGGAAGAAAACATCTCTCTACAGTATGAAGTTGCTTGATAGTGTCATCAAAGAAAGCCAGCGCATCAAGCCCTTGCAGCTCGGTAAGTTTAAGCGGCTTTGACCTGTTTTCCTGAGGAGGCGATGCATGTTCTAACTTGCCATGTCTTTACAGCCAGCATGCAACGTATCGCTGTGAAAGACGTCACTCTTTCCGACGGGACTTTCGTCCCCAAGGGAGCAAACATAGCTGTTTCTTCTCACTCTCTGTGGGATGCCGCGGTGTACCCGGAGCCGGAAAAGTGGGACGCGTACCGTTTCCTCCGAATGAGAGAGGAACCCGGCAAGGAAAACGTGTCGCAGCTAGTCAGCACTCTACCGGAGCACCTCGGCTTCGGCCATGGTAAACATGCTTGCCCCGGTCGCTTCTTCGCTGCAAATGAGATCAAGATCGCTCTTGTGCATATCCTGCTCCAGTACGAGTGGAGACTTCCCGTCGGGGCCGATACCTCGATCACCGACTACGGCTTCAGTCCGATGCTGAACCAACGCTTGGAATTGGAAATTCGGAGGCAGACTGATGAAATTGACATGAACTTCTGAGCCATGAAAATTCTTGTCATCAATAAGAAGACGTGGTATCCGGCTGGGGATCCGGGCTGCGGGAATCCAAGGATGATGCGCGGGGAGGATTGCTATCGGTCTTTGATAATCGAGACTCGTCCCGCGGCTCTCTGGATTCGCAAACGCCTTTGGGATCGGCCCAACTAGTGGGTAGTTGCATGGACCTGAAAGGTTCTCGATATTTGGAAGACATGCTGCCCGCTTAATTTGGTTATGTGTTGAACAAAGACGTCATCTTGAGTACCTACACGCACCATCTGGAGGCACTTCTTGAGATGCGGGGTCGTGGCGAACTACTAAGGAATTCAAGTCGGCTATATATCTCCGCACCTATATATACTAGTAGCCTGCACCAAACACATCCCCGTAGATATTATCTAGAAATTCATTTGCATTGCACGACCCACGGAAGTCAGTGACCTAAGCGTCAAAATCATGGCTCAAGATCTGCCTTTCAAGGTACGTCCGTCGTCTAATCTCTCAACTAGATGTATTCGTTGCTAACACCCCTAGCTCGCCAATCCTGATCTGCTCAAGACGGACGCCTACGTCCATGGCTCTTGGGTGACGGCATCATCAAAAAAGAGATTCGAAATCGAGGATCCCGGAACAGGCAAAGTCTTTGCCTCAAGTCCAGACTTTGACCGGTCCGATGTCGATGCAGTGGTGAAATCATCACATGAAGCTTTCCAGACCTTCCGCTACGAGAACCCGAGGTCTCGGGCCAAGAAGCTCTTAGAGTGGGACCGCCTCATCCGCGAGAACCGAGATGACATTGCCCAAGTTCTCACCCACGAGTCTGGCAAGCCTCTGGCAGAAGCGCAAGGCGAACTCGACTATGCTCTAGGCTTTACGTGGTGGTTCGCCGGAGAGGCCGAGCGCATTCGAGGAAACATCTCGACGCCTTCTGCACCTAATCGAAGGGTCGTGGTTGTGAAGCAGCCAATTGGTGTAGCTGTGGCGCTTGTGCCCTGGAATTTCCCCATTGCGTGAGTACTCAATCTTAAGCCACGATTGTTGACCTACAGTCCTGATAGCATTGTAGGATGATTCTGCGCAAGGCCGGCGCTGCATTGGCAGCAGGATGCACTATGATTGCGAAGCCATCGCCCGAGACGCCTTTGACGTGCCTAATCCTCGCACACCTAGCCACGAAGGCTGGGTTCGGACCAGGCGTCTTCAACGTCATCACCACGTCCCTCGATAACACCCCCGAGGTCGCAGAGGCTTTGTGCAAACATCCCTTGACGAAGAAGGTCTCGTTCACCGGCTCCACTAACATCGGCAGCCTGATCGCCAAGCATTGCGCAGAGGGCCTCAAGAAACTGACCCTGGAGCTCGGAGGAAACTGCCCCTTCATCATCTTTGACGACTGCAACCAGGACCAAGCTTTGGAACAACTTCTCGCACTCAAGTGGCGACATGCAGGTCAAGCATGCATCACAGCCAACCGCGTCTACGTCCAAGACGGCATCTACGAAGAATTTCTCGAGAAACTAGTGGAGCGGACTAAAAAGATCAAGATGGGACATGGAACCAAGTCGGACACGACCATGGGACCCCTGACAACACCCCGCGCCATCCCCAAAGCCCAAGCTCACGTCAAAGATGCAGTAGACGCAGGCGCAAAGGTCGTACACGGCGGTCGAAAGGGAACAGAAGTCGGTCTGGAGGCTGGATACTTCCACGAGCCGACTATCCTGCGCGATATGAAGCAGTCTATGCTACTCAGTCGCGAGGAGACATTTGCACCCGTCTTGGGCCTGTACAGATTCAAGACCGAGGACGAGGCGGTTCAGTGGGCCAATGATACAAGCATGGGTCTGGCTAGCTACTTCTTCACTAAGAATATCGACCGCACGTGGCGGTTGATGGAGAACTTGGATGCAGGAATGATCGGGATGAATACTGGTAATTCATCGGCGGCTGAGTCTCCGTTTGGTGGTATGAAACAATCTGGCTATGGGAAGGAGTCTGGCAAAGACGTGGCTATTGAGGAGTACCTGATCTCGAAGACTGTGACCATGACTTTGGAGGATCATTACTGAGCTATCAAAGTCGCAGATGCTGAATGCAATTCTATGTTGCAACGCCTATGTTCTCTGTGCAGTGTACCAGATATGTTCGTTGGGCAATAAATACAGTCAAAGTGTCCAAATCCGAAAAACTAAGGGAGCCTCAGGTAGAATGGAGCCTGACTACTTAGCCAGACGAAGCCATCATTATGCCCGGCTTACTCCTCCGCATTGTGAATCGGCGCCTGGCACTACCTCAAAGCCAGTAGGAGCGACAAAGTTTCCGCACCTTCCATTATCGCAAACTCCTTGTCTGATAGTGTTCCCGCATGCGCGTCCGTTGGCGGCGACCTGTTGAGGCGAGGGCTTGTTTCGTTTCGCAAAGTCGCTGAACTCCCGGGGAATAAGTGTGATGGCAAGAGCTTCGCCTCGTCTGCCTCGCGGTTTCGGTGCTATTCCAATGTTTTAGTAGCTGTTGCTCTTGCCCCTGTTGCTGACGCTTACCTGCAAAGACGCCTTCGGACACCAACAGCAATGCGAATGCAACGTCGACCAAACGCATGATGTACCTAGGAAGGAAGAGGAGGATCTGGATTGGTCTGCGCAAGAACAGGCTGAAAGAAAGCAGATCAATCGGCCTTGTTCGTGTTCTTGTACTCAGAATTTCGATCTCGCTTATTCCAGAATTGCAGTTCAAATGTGAGGTTGTAGTTGCAAAAGCAACGGCCTCTAAGGACAGTCTTGGGTAGCAATCTGGCTGATGTGTACGATTGACGTCGCCACGATACATGATACTTGTTTTATGTCGGAGCCCGTGCCGTGAGACGATGACAATTTGCGGGTCTTTCGGATCTGCGTATTACTTGCGAGCCGATGATCATGCAAAAAAGGCGTGAAGCCTGGTCCCAGTCTATCATCCGACAAATCTCATACAATGCTGGTTGGGGTACCCTGGGCCGCATGATTGGGCGGTTTTCGGACCGTTCCATAGCCACATGCATTTCCCCAGATTCCAAGAGAACAAGATAACTGGTAAAGAAATATCGAAGGCTTTAAGGCCGATTTCGTGTTTGAAAGAAACTCCCGCAACAGTTGTTAATATCTCATTAGGACGAGTCGTTGGTAATGCCCCGTGCAGCCGCGCTATGGTGATGACTCGCCAAGTGAGATTGAAGCCCTGGGTACTACGGGTAAGCCAGCCATTGCATTTGCGATTAAGGCAACTAAAACTTGAAAGTTGTATTGGGTCAAAGGAATAGTACATGTAAGAACTAAGAAAATTTCCAATCTTTGAGGTTGAGTAATATACGTAGCACCAGGGGCGAACACATAGTGTTGGCAGAGGGCGGGAGCGACTTAAAATAGACAACATAGACTTTTAAACATTTGGAAGATTCCCGTAAGACAAACCCGACAGGTGCTGCCAAAAGTCAAATCCTTCTGTCATCCCGCTGTCCTGCAAGAAGGCAGGGTCCATCATCATCGGCACTGCATCGGGAGTAGCAGTAGAGCCGATCTTGCATAGATACCAGCTCCTGATACCGAAGTAGTTTTCTGCGTAAGCTGATACCATCCGTTGACGACTGCTCAAGATCGTGCTACCATAGCCGGTGGCACGAGGACTGGTGATGAACCGGTCGCTCAATATTTGCAACGTGTCTGCCAAATCTAAGTTTGCTCTCGCTGTATCCAGGTCCCAATCGTGATCCACTACACTCAGAAGCCCTGCTGCTTTGATGATGGCGAGTGCCAGATGGAGGATTGAAATGAAGGTGAGAGTCGGATATGTATCCACACTCAGGGAGAGGAACGCATGCAAGAGTTCCTGAGTGCTCGTAAAACAGCGCCACATGATTCGAGACCTCAGGTGAGGGGACTTGAATCCATGGGTTCCATTGGCATGTATGGCGGGTTCGAACAGTCGAATGCGTATGGCCATGCAATGCTCATTTAAGAGGTCTATTGGAGATTGTCAGCGGCTTCTCAAGTCACACTGACGACAGAACAGGCCATACAGTTTGAACGAAGAGGGGTTGGCAAGGATTTGACGAATGTCTCCAGTTCCTTTTGTACGTTGGCGATGACCATGGCATGGAAGCCTCCGAATGGTCTGCCACTCTGGAAGTCGGTCCTTTCCCCGAATACATCGTCGACCTTGAGCGCAATCTTCCTTGCTTTTATCAGGTGTACGAGCAAAGAGTCGGTTGGAAGCTCGTTGTCGTTGGACAAGTCCCCGCAGCAGTCATCAAAGTAACGTGCAAAGTCCAGCCGGGAGGCTCTACCGAGGATGCTACCAAGTCTAAGGTAGTAATTACAACATGGTAAGCTTCGAACTGTGAAACAAGGCTGAGAGTATTTGACAGGTCCTTACACAGAATTGATATAGAAGAGACCTAGAACAGCGCGCCGGCCTGCATTTGTGTGAAAGGATCGGCTGCCGAGATCGTCTCTCAGGTGCGCAGCATTCTCGACAATTGACTGGGAGGTGGATGTCGAGAGATCAGGGCGTTTTGTCAGTCCCAAGTCTTCTGCTAGTCCTCGGGCAAGGTGCATCAGACTTGTATCAGAGGATGCCGCGAAGTAGTGGATGTCGTTCCTACGTCATGCAAAGATCAACGCCAGTTCCAAGGTTGACGTAAGATGCACTCCGAGTAAGCTCTCCTTACCAAGCGAAAAAAACCAGTAGTGATTGCAGAACTTCCAAGCTCGTTTCAAGTAGAACTACAACTCGATGCGCGATATGTTACCGAAACCATCTCTTGAATGCCTCATTCAAGTCGTCGTCGGGAGGCTTACACGTCCATATCACAGTCTTTAAGAGCAGCGGTTTGTCTTTGTACAATTCTTGTGCATCGCAGACGGATAAAGGGACAAATGGGAATTGGGGGACCATGTCGGACATGTACAGTTGAAGAATCACGTTGGCTTCTTGCAAGGTGACTCGGTATCCGGGGATGATTGTCAATATTCCTTGAAGCAATTCGACCGGAGTTGCGGTCGAGTTCAATGGCGAATAAGAGCCATCTGATTGGTGCTGCGTCGTCGTTGAATGGAGGTTGATCGATGGCGATGGATGGCTGTCTGAAGTCTGGCTGTTTCGAGCCGAGTGTTCGCGGTCGCGGTTCAGAAGCGACATGATGTCGTCTAGCTTCCGTTCAAGCACCTTTGTGTGGCTACAGGGCCGCGGCCTTGTCAGTCTCGAGTTTCTGCGATGATGGGCGGACACTTCATACGCTGCCTTTCCTCTCTTCCTCTTGACTTCCGGCGGTGATCTAGAGCAGTCTAGGTGGTGGCTAGAGCATCTGAATGATGACTGTGGTCAGTCAGAGATGCTGAACTCGATGGCTAGACCAAACCTTTGGCAAGTCTCGGGGGCAGGACCTTCGATCCCTGGCCAGACGCATTTAGCCTTGGCTCGGGAACAGTTCGTACATGCCTGGACTCTGATGTTGCGGCGAGGGGATGCAGCAGACATTGTTGGCCACCTGATCGGAATCGTCGGCAATGATTCGCCTTTCGGGATAAATAATGGTCTTAAAGGTCCCGGTGCAACGTTTTTTCTTTTGGAAATAAATCTTTTTGGTCTCCGCGGGATGAGAAGTTGGGAGGGAGGAGGGAAGAAACCGACCGGGGCGGGAGTCTAAAAGCCCTCCACGAGGGGTCCGATCGCCGCAAACAAAGAAGCTCCAATCACAAGTACCATGCAACGCAGAAAAGGCTAGAGTGACTCAGTTGAGGATCTTGCGGGGAGCAATTTGCTTCCCGCCGCCGCAGAGGGATCCACAACACAATTTCGATATCAAGAAGTTGCGGACACTGAGATGTACTTTAAGGTAAGTAGGTACCAAGCCTGACGTTCCAATTTCTTCCAACGCTCAGCAGCTGTTATTTCCTTTTTCAATCATCCTACCACTATTTGTACTCTCCTTTTTCACTGCCTCTAATAGACCCTCGCTCTTCTCTTTTTTCTAGTCTTGAGATAATGCGTCCCGACCATTTTGAAAAACAGCAGCTCCCTATTCCCTCCGTTACAGAAGATACGACTGTCAATCAAGCAGGCTATCAATCAGCCATGGAATCCATTGAGAAGAAGACTTCTCAGGACGAAGCTCCGGGGACGAATGATGGTAGCCGAGAACCGGCCTCACCCGAGTACGTGGAAGGCCTGCCTTTAGTCTGCATCATCATTGGTCTTACCTTGGCTGTCTTTTGCCTATCGCTGGTAACGCTTTCTCCCAATATTTATAACACTGAGAAATATCGCTAACGGTAGCGATGAAACCTCAAGGATCGAACTATCCTCGCAACTGCAGTCCCTAAGATCACCACCGAATTCAATTCTCTCAACGACGTAGCCTGGTATGGCTCGTCATACCTCCTGACGACCTGCTGCTTTCAGCTCATGTTCGGCAAGCTGTATGCCGAGTTCAGAGTGACCTGGGTGTTCCTTTCTGCTCTTGCCTTCTTCGAACTGGGGACTATCGTCTGCGCCGCCGCCCCAAACTCAGTGGCCTTAATCATTGGGAGAGCGATCTCTGGGATAGGCTGCGCCGGTTTACTCTCGGGAACGTTCATCATCATAGCACAGAGCTTCCCGGTGCACAAACGCCCCATCTACACTGGTATGATTGGAGGTATGGCCGGCGTTGCTGAAATCATCGCTCCCACCCTCGGAGGTCAGTCAAACCCCGCAGTGCCGGAATTGCCGTCGTAGCTAACAGTGTTTGGACTAGGTGCATTGACGGATAACGCTACCTGGCGCTGGTGCTTCTGGATCAACCTACCACTTGGCGCAATCACAGCTGTAGTCGTCTTCTTGTACGTCAAGCCTCCTGCCGACGCGGAGCCCAAGCAGCCGAAGTCCATCGGTGCCCTCCTCAACAGCATGGACCCCATTGGTACTGTCCTGCTGATGCCCTTCATGGTCTGCCTGCTACTGGCTCTTCAATGGGGTGGTACAACGTTCGCGTGGAGTAACTGGCGGATCATCCTATGCCTGTGCCTATTTGGCGTCCTCTTCCTCGCGTGGCTGGGCATCCAGTATTTTCGGGGAGACGACGCCACCTTGCCGCTTCGCCTCATTCGCCAACGATCTGTCGCGAGCGGCATGGTCTTCATGCTTGGAGTCAACGGAGCTGTCTTCGTTATCGTGTATTATGTCTCGATTCGGTTCCAGGTGGTTAAAGATACAACGGCGGAACAGTCTGGCATCAACTTCTTGACGTCGTCGACCGCCGTGTCTGTGTCTTCAATCCTCTCAGGAGTTCTGGTATGTAGGAACTGGCCTGGAACTACTTGAGGGCATTTGCTGACACTGAACTTCTTGCAGACATCAAAGCTTGGATATTGGGTACCGCAGATGATCTTTAGCACGATCGTTACCTCGATTTCTTCGGGGTTTATCTTTAGATATAAAGTTGAGACAACTACCGCGTACTGGTATGTCAACGAGTCTTCTGTATCCGCATGACGTGACTAAATTTACTTACACTGTCTTCACCAGGGCGGGAACTCTCTTCATGTTCGGCTTCGGTGCAGGTATGGGCATGCAGATGCCTCTCGCAGCTATCCAGACGGTCCTCAAGGGCGCCGACGTGTCCCTAGGCACCTCCAGTCTTATTCTCGCACAGACTCTCGCCGGTTCCATCTTTCTCTCTGTTGCGCAAAGCTTGTTCCAAAGCAGACTTCTGATTGAGTTGGCAGCGCAAGCGCCGCAAGTCGACGCCCAAGTTGTCATCGGGCATGGTGCGTCTGGGATTAAGGACATGGTGGCAGAAAGGTACGGCGGTGCAGCTGCCCTAGACGTGCTTGGGGCGTACAACCACGCATTACGTGCGTGCTTCTTGTTGTGCATCGTTCTCTCCTGTTTGACTGGTATTGGTGCACTGGGAACGGAATGGAGGAGTGTCAGAGAGGACGCACCAAAGGACACGGTTGACGATAGACAGACCGCGTCTGATGGCGAGACATCGCGCAGCGACATTTGAGGACGAGACCGATCAGCGATATCTCCGGAATTCCCTCATGGTACTTCGGCTCTAGACTCATTGGGACCTCGCCAAGTCACAATTCGTTCTAGCTATAGTAGCATCTGGTCACTCTTGGTCACATGTCTGTACATAAGAGTACATGTACCTGTGGGTTCTTCTTATCTTTAAGACCCCATGCCTACCATGCCTAAGCTAAAAGGTATATTTGGTCTGCGTCTATTTCGCAGACGGGTGTATTATCTAGATAAAGAGCTGCCAGTCACTCCCTTGTCGTTGATCTCTGATAATCGAGGCTCGTTGCCGTTATGTTAATGCTAACCCGCGCTTCTATACGAAAAATCCCACTTAATTTTGATGAAGGTGCATATGAGACTTGAGATGTCTTATTCTCACTCCGACTGATTGCCCATTGATGGGTGACATTGTTCAGACAGCAGAGGCACCTGTAATGGCGATCAAGGTAACCGGTGGAATTTGAGAGAATGTACTTTGAATAGATTTTTGAATGCTTGACATGTGATATCGTCATTGCTGTTATTGTCGCCTGGTGAAGAGTGATCAATGCAGGTTCATACTAAGGTATGTATCACATAGTGGCTACTGACCTTTTCACGGGGGATTCCCGGTTTTTCAAGTATTGTTGAATCTCAGGGAAGCATGCTTGCAATACTTCCGTGCATGTCGAAGGCAGTTGTCCTTCCGGGGAAATCTCTTCCCGCACCCGCTGTTTGGGCAAGGATGGCACTCTTCTTGTGCCGATTTTATATGCTTCAGACGGTGCTTTTGCATATCCTTCGGTAAGTCGCAGGAATAGCTGCACCTCGGATGTTGGCATGGGTACCTTTTACGTGAATGGCAGGATGATGCGATAGAGTTATATCTATAGTCATCGAATGGCGAGGTTGGGCGGCGCTTTAGTGTGGCAGAGTTATGTCTGCTTTCTTCGAATGGCGAAGTTGAATGACCCAGTGGTGTGACGGGTTTGCGGCTACTTTCCTCGAATGACGAGGATCTTTTAGCTTGGGCCGCAGACCTCGAATTGGTCGCAGACCAGTCATAAAAGGAGTGTTGATCCCAGATCAATGTGTTCACGGGAGAGAAATTCGAAACTTGTTCGAATGTGTCTTCGTTACGCTCAAGGTATTCGAGCGAAGTTGCGTTCAGGCAGCCATCGAGGTACCCAGTGAAATAAGTATCATGGGAGTCGAAAACGTCGGTAGGTCTGGGTGAGATAATTGAGGTTGTATCCCAGGCCCGTGACTGCCCCGAGCATCTGGGATGTTGTGCGTGATGCTGAAATATTAGGCCAATAGGCGGTGATGAGTCGCAATCGTAGTCGACAAGTGTTTCGGGGGAAAGGATTCCACACCAAACTCTTCGAGGATCGATCGGTTCCCGTCAAAAGGCCGCCGTCTTTTTGACGGACGGCGGCCTCCGAGGGCAGGAAAGAGATACAAGAGGATAGTGCCTTGCGCAAGGCAAGAGGGATGGGATGTAGGTAGATGTTCTGTAAAGTAAGAATATCTACTTTACAGAACCAAAAGACTTGTTTAGAGCTTGACAGGCTTGGAATTGAATGGAGGACGGTGCCTAAGGGGAAAGGTCGGCGGTTAAATACTCTCTTGTTGGGACTAGCTCTGGATCTACAAGTAAACAAGAGTCCTGTGGCTTGCAGGTGCCAAGACCATCTCCCACCAATTAGATAGTGTGCGGGCTGAATGTCACACCGAGGACAGGACTCACAACTCTCAGCTGAAAGCAACCGTGGGCCTCTCAGCCCTAATCCTGTCTTGTTATTGGTAGTCGCGTAGAAAGACCACTGCGACATTCCCGCGATTGAGCCATCTGACTTGGTTTCGCGACAATGGTTTTGTTCCGATTCCAAGTTTGTCAGTTCCTGTCTCTGCTGGAAACATGATTCTGACAACTCAAGTCGTCGCAAATTGGAGCAAAGTTGAAACTTCAACCAATGCGTGTAGTTGTCGAGTATCATATTTTTGTATGCTAAACCTGTCGCAGACATGGGCGAGACCTTGTTTGAGGGCGAAAAGTCCAAGGTGACAACACAAATGAGGAACGCGAAGCTGAAAATTGAGTCCTCCCGACTCAAAAGGACTCCCAATTCCTTATGGAACATTCCATCCGACAGGAAAAGGAGTCCCCATGAGTCCCCGCCAGTCATATGGACTCTTTTGAGAGTCCCAATACTTTAAAGTGATGTGTAGCCTCGACAAAAGAACATAAAATGAACTCATCTGGGTCCAAATCAACACAAGTGTTTATTATTATCTAGGCATCAACATTCGGGCTACAAAGCCATCCCATCAATTTCGATAACAAGTCGAGGCGCAAGCTTCATTCAAACGACTCATTCAGGATGAACTTCAACTTAGAAGAAAGGCAAAGTCTCTCCTATAGGATCTTCGAGCTAGATGCTGACTATGAGCTGTGCCTAGCCAAGCTCGAGGAGACGAAAGCAAAGGCCCTGCCCATCTGCTGGCCCAGTCTTCTGGGCTTGCTTCCTTCAACACCATCAACTGTGCATTTCCGTTCCCCGAGTCCCTCAGCGAGACTATGAACCGATACTTCAAGTCTCTCGATCCATCATGGATCCCATTGCCCCCGGATGAGAAGGAACAGACGGAGACGAAAGGCGAAACGGATAGCAAAGCAAGCTGTGTTGCACTCGTAAACGGGGTGGAAATCATGAAGCCCAAGAGAGTTTTACGCAATCAACACGTTCAGAGTTTTCAAACGCTTTAGAGTATTATGAGTTGTGAATTCTCTGCCGGCACCTGGGAGTTCCACCGATGTTACATCATGTGGCTGCAATATTCTCTTCGCTGCGTCTCTCCCACAGAACACTTGTGCTGACTTTCGTGTTTATCCAAGTGTACTAAGTCAGCATTAGAGAGTCCTTGTAAATATACGACGGATACCACATTGGAATGACCACCTACCTCAAAGCAACACGGCTTCCCATCTCCCACCGTTACGGCGAGAAGATTAGCCTCGCTCCAAACCGGCCTAAAGCCAGCTTCCTCAATCCTTTCCCACCACTCCGTAAACTCACTTATCGTGGGGCCCTTCTCTGGTACATGGATCTCAATCACCATTTGACCAACTGGCACATCCTTGCCCTCGAGCTCTCCACCTTTCGTATAATCTCCCAGGAAAGACTCCAGTGTCGGAAACTCGTCTCCTTCAATGTCCATCTTGATGAGATCCACATAATCATGCCCTAACTTCTTCATGATACTCTTGATCGAAAGGAACTCCGTCTCCTCCTTTTCATCATAGTAGTCATACTCGGCAACAGCCGTTTGGAAGAACTGCGTCCGATTGGCATATGCTTCTAGTCCCTTGCCCCAGCCATCGACTGTGTCGTCGAAGCCATAAATCTCAGCGGAGTTGGAGCGGCCGAGCATCTCCGTCTCGAAAGAGGAGTCATCTCCGATCCCGAAGCTGTAAATGCGGATGGGTTTCTCAGCCGCTCGAGAGTTGGCATTTGCTCTTTCGTATTTGCTCATTCCGCAAATCCACTTTCCCCCGTCACCGAGTTTTCCAACTCGTTGAACATCCCAGGGGCACGTGTACGCTGCCGGAAACAGGTCCCAGATGGTATACCAGAATCGGAGGCTCTCATCCCTGGGTGTAAAACTAGTTGCAAAATTAGATATCTCTATTGCTATCTGGAGAGGCCCCACTTACAGTGTTGAGTCGTAATCTTTGTTAGCACTCATCCACTCATGTCTCTTTTCGACCGAGGTCAACCATGACTGCTCCGACAATGCTGCCCGAGCTAGCTCGCCTAGGTGTATATCGCTGCGAGATAGTATCCAGGATGACCATGTTTCGTCGAGGATTGGTGTCAGGAAGTAGAGAAAAGCTACCGGGAAAAAGAAGGGAAGGACTCTCAGAAGGGTCCATGTCCCCCGGTCCGCGGTCCTTAGAGCCGCCATTGTGTATCGGACGGGTGGGCTGAGATCAGGATGGCGATCGATGTACAGAATCAACCCAAAGGATTGGAGAATATGACTATTATCTGCTTTGCCAATTTCAAAGATCGAGAAATTCATGGTCATTAGACCAAGCGTTATCGCCACTCACGGAAACCCAACCAACGCGCTCTCGCGGCCTTCTAGCACGAAAAACAGCCATCCGATTCTGACAGCATCATTGAAATAAACTTTCATCTTCATCCTCTACTGAAACAGCTTGTCTGAAACTGTTATCGATTCTTAGCGGCCTCGTTTCTACAAAGTCTTTCTAGAATGCCCGCCACGAGTCAGTCTTCAGACGGCGACAAAACATCGGACTACGCCTCGGTTCATCCGTGTTCTGTAGACGAATCTGGCTGGCCAAAGAGATGCAACAGGTCACAATATGGCTTGACGGTGGAAGTTTGAGTTCAAGGCGGAAAGCTCGTTTCGCGGGAGATCGTCCAACATGGTTGGCGAAATCGAGTCAGTCTCGCTTGAGACAGCTATTGCATGCCTACATGCCGAACCAAGGCACTCGCCGCCGAGTTCAAGTCACAGCCACAGCGCATAATGCCAAAAACCCGCCTGTTCCAATGACCTGGGAAAGCTTCCGCCGATAGTCGCCATTAAGCTTCACGCTCATTTGAAAAATTACCGGCATTTCGGTGTACGGCCTCACGACTATGGAACCAGTTATGGCCAAGATGGCTTCTCATGCACGGTACTGTACGCGTTCCTCCCACCAATACCGTTTCATCAATACCGCGCTTTGGCACGAGACTGAGGCTTTCTACAAACAACTTGCGCATCGTCTCTCTGCATAGGCCACCCGGGATAGGCGCCAAGAGTCCCCTCGTGCCTGAGTTGTATTTAGCCATCGCGTTACCCCAGACCTGACCCTCTGGACCTGGATGTGTTCGGTCCGTTTGGCAGCTGTCCACAATCACTCATCTCTCGGCTTAACATCGAATTACTGTGCTTCTAGTAGCTGCTTCTGGCAAGACCCCACTCACTTTAATCGCGATCATGAAATTCACGTCAATTCTTCTCGTTCTTGCTAGCGCTGGCGCTGTAGTAGCCGTAAGTTGTGATCTTCTTCGACCAAGGCAGCTCTACTAACTCGTCCAAGTCGCTTCCCAACGCTGGCGCTGCTCTCGTTGAACGCGACGAAGTCGTCGGGAAGAAGGGGCTCGAGGCAACCAAGACAAACCCTCGGGTGAAGAGAGCCGACGGAACCTTCAACCTGGTGCCACGGCAGACTCAAACCAAGGAGGCCAGGATGATCTCGGACGAGGAAGCAGACAGTCTGAAAGAGAAACGCGGGGAAGAGGCAGTCCAAGAGAAGCGGGACGATTTGACGCCAACAAAAACGAATCCTCGGGTGAAGAGGGCTGACGGCACTTTCAACCTTGCTCCAAGGCAGTCCATTACGAGGAGAGCCGAGGCATAGGGGTGAGGCTGGGTCGTTCGGTGGGAGTTCTACTCATGTAGGCAGTCTAAGACAGGCGTAATACCAGCACCGAAAAAAGCATGGGCAAGGAGGAATCAATCTCTCCCGCGTTCGTAGTTTTTTGCATGGGCAAGTGACGAGGCACGAAGCGTTACTCGGTTTGGCGTTCTTACACTTGTCACCGTACCATGGTTGAATGCTGGGAACTTCGTCAGCTTCATACTTTGGATACCCATAAAAAGCCTCCACTCTGCTATTCACACCCCCGAAGGCACCTCCGAAGCACCACGGCGAGACTATATCGGACATAGCAGAGTCTCTGGTAGTTGATGATAGTGGTACGCGGGCACAGAAGGACGTAGAACGAGTGCCGCAATCTGAGGAGCAGCGCAATATTCGGTATTTTGGTCAATACCAGGGTCCAAAGCTGGGCGAGCGAGGCATTTTCGGGCCTGCTAGTAGGTTTAATTCGATGTAATACCAATGATGCGCGTAACCACGCAAGCTTTGTCGTATTGCGTGATACGATAGCCATGGTGTGGTGCAACCTATCACAAACCGCTTGACTCTCGATAGTTCGTACAACACTGTGACGAGGATGAGTCTTCAGTATATAGCCCCCCAGAAGCATTCTGGGGAAGTCAGTTCATCTGCATAACACAGTCGGGACGAGAATAGTCTGAGTTCCCTGTCTTGAAACGGTTCAATCAAACACCATGTTCCCAGTGGGACGCACGAGCCAAGAACGTCGAGCATTTCGCAAGTTTGTGTGTAGTCTTTGCCCCGGAAAACCCGGCCTGACTCGGAGCAGCCTTAATAGTGGGTGCGCAAATCCGGCGAATGATAGTAGCAATGGATAACTCCGTTTCGGAGGAGTAAATCTGCCTCGTAAGGCTGTGGAGGGTTGTCGAACGCCACCAAGTGTCTGACGATGTCTCGACCCTTCCGCGCGGCTACATGTCTTGTAGATAACACAAGCGGTTCAAATTTTCTTGGAACTGCAATGGCGAAAGGGAAAGTCGTCCACGGGATGAAGCAGAGTTCTTCCAGCGAATTCCAGGCTCTCCGAGCGGCCTCCGGTGGGCTACATGGTAACGGCCCCCAACTGGGGGCTGAGAAGCTAATCTCGTGGTTGCGATGTTCGGCTGTGGGCGCAAGGCACTGTGCAGGACATTCGTCAGACGCTTCAGGGTAGCAGATCCCACAGCCTTGCCGGGATTCGCGCGGTCAGCTGGACGGGAACTCCCCGGCCATCTTTCTCTTGGAAATCTGGGAATGAGATGATCAAGGTCGTGAAAAGAGGCATCGATCCTGTTGATTCAGCTCGGGTGGAAGTGGAAGTAGTCGTCCTCCGGCCACGCAACTTGACCGCGTTTATCGCTAGGCAACGGGTGGCAACTGCGAGATGACCGGAATGACTGGAAGGAGAGAAGCGAGCCGGCGAAGGATCGGAGGTGGTCTTGAGAGTGTCTGGATGCGTTGACGCGTCTGGTGTGGTGGGTGACTTGAAGTGACGCGGGCCACGAGCCAATGAAGGACGAGCCTGATATGTACGAGCAGCTGCTTGTAGTCAAGTCCTGGCCTCCAGGGACTCCAGCCAATTCGTATTATGACAGGTTGTCAATGGACATCGCGAGAACTTCTCTTGATGTCTAGGCAGACGTTTAAGGTACAGAGATACGTACCGTCGGTAAGTTGAGGGTGAGCCGCATCGAGTGACCTTGACCCTGTGTTAGTCATCATGAGTATAGCGCGGGGATTTGGCTCTCACCTGAGGCAGAATGCGACTGATGCCTGCTGGCAGCGGTTGGAACCGGAAGGTGGAGAAGAAGCGGTGTGGACCTGATGAGATAGGAACGTACCGCTGTCTCCAAGTGTTTGTGCGATGGGAGAAAAATTGGTGGCCGGAGCTTTCTCCTCTGACGACACCTCATCCTCTCCCAAGGGCATCTCCAACTTGTTTGCTGCTACGATGCGATGCGCTGCACTGCGACACGATTCGATGCGATGTCATTCAATTGAGCCTCTCGGAGCACTTGCAAACCTTGTAGCGAAACGCACCCCGCTCCCTCGTCATTGTTGTCCTGATGAGCTTCTTTTGCTATCCACCTTCACGAAACAAGGCCTAGCTGCATCGGTTGGTCCGAGGGAGAAGCAGGCTGTGGAGGCTGTGCGCACCGTTAACACACCCTGCTGTCGTTAGAGACCAGCACAGCCGTCTTACTCGCATACTAACACTGCCAAAACATGCTTCTTTCGCAGCCCAAATTCCGATTGAACTGGCGGGACGGACATCATGCTTTCCTGGTATTGGAGCGGCGCGCGCCACGGGACAAGCATCGTCATTAACCTTGTCAAGCCCTCAGTGGCTCCCCTTGCAGCCCACGATCCCTTGCCGGTGACGATGAAGGCCATGGTTCCCGGGAGGTGGAGTTTATCGAATTGGCCCGCTGCCATTTGTCCAGACTCCAGGGTCCGATGATCAACTGCTTCAATCGTGGCCTCATGCACATCCGGCCATCTGCAAGTCAACTAAGTGGACCTCGCCCTACCGGCCGCTCAGAAAATCGGCATTGTAGCGTCGCGCAAGAGACCAACAAAGAGCTTGCATGAAAATCTTGCGAGGCCGAAGTGACTCAGGTGTCATTCGCCAACGTAAATTGGAATGATTGGTTACTGTTCCACCCGATCCAGAACAGAGGGGACAATGGAGATCGTTGCGACTCGAGCACAACGGCGGCTGTCGCTTAGTCGGAAACGATGTTGATTTATCGAGAATCTACACTTCTAGGCCGAGCCCGGCCAACACAGGCCAAATCTGCAGTCGAATTGTTTCGATTGCCGCTGTCCATGTCACCCTGGCTTTCCCCAACGGCGCGCGCATGGTGCCTCTCCCCGCGTCGAATAGATGAAGAACCGGGGCAAGAACACTTTGGCTCTGAAGTGGTGGCATGAGGGGGGCATCGAATTGAGAGCGAAAATAGCATCATATCGCCCAGATTATTGTTTCGCGGCTTTCCCACTCAAGAGTCCGAATTCGTCATCTTCTACACGAGGCTGCGACAACGCCAGACCTCCACGGCGGCCATCCGCAATCTCTTCCCCAGAGAGGGACGCTGACCACCAGCCAGTCGGTTCCCTCTTCATCCTACGGTGAACGAGACACCACAACATAGAATAAACATCGCGGCGCAACTAACTTACACGACCCGTATCCACAAACTCATCCACACCCTCATGCGCAAGGTCGCATACATAACTGGGGATTGAGGACTCCTTTCAAAGACATCAGAAGAACACAAGAAAGCGCCACCTGTGCGCCGTCCAGCCTGTCACGCCTGTCGAAATATCCTTGGCTCCCTCTCGTTTTGATGGCTTACGGTGGACCACCCTAGCAACGTCCCAAAAGTCACTTCTCGCGCACCGCCTCTGGTAGGCCTCTTCCCAAAAGAGGCTGAGTGATACCTCCAGAGGTATTTCCCCAGCGGAGGAATGCGGGCAAGAGACGGAAGGGAAACTTGTGCTCTTTCGGAAACGTTCAGCGAGGGGGACCACCCTAGGCCAAGGACTCCGACGACCCTCCCCTCCCAAGAAAGAGAACCCCCCTGCGAGGGCCGAGCACGAAAGAGGCCTAGCAGCCAAGCGAAGACTCATCGGCCTCTAGCGAAAGGCAGCAGTCTGACAGGGGAGGGGGAGGGGGCATGGTGTACAGGCGCAATCCACCCTCACAAGGCCTCGCTTCTCCACCATGCCACGGCCTGCAGCACTTGGCCCACGATACTTGGATCCTCTGTCTTCTTTGCGGCTGACACTAGGTACTAGCGACTTGCTGCCCCTGCCACCACCACCAGGATGGGTTTCTCCTGCTCAGACGATATAATTCAGACGCGTTTTCACTTCGAGACAAATTGTTTCCACGCTGCTTTACATCTCCACTTGGACTATTTACACTTTGAAAAGACTTCCCTTCCTGCACTTAGACGACAGACGCTACCCCAATCTATCGTACCTGGTCGATCCATTCTCTATACTTAGGCAGAACTCTTTGGGATTCTTCCACACCTGACTTCTTGAATCCTTCCTTGATCTGGTATATAGTCCCTCATCCTCACTTGCATCTTGTCCTGAAAGATCACCAACTCACATCACCAACAATCAGACAGACCATAACCTCGATTCACTACTCGGACTCCACCATATCACTTCGACTTCACCTCAACAACACCGACACGTTGTCTTCCTATCACCACCCTGAAGCTCACTACATCGACAACACCATTGTCTACAAGTACAAGTCTCGTCGCCTAGCCAACTCCAGTCGGGATTATCAACGTTCACCAACGCTCTCGAGGACTCTCTCCTCCACCCAGTCGACTGTACCCGCGAGACGAGTTCCATTCGTTACGCAGGTAGTTCAACCCTCACCACCGACCCCGCGCACGCTGCGCCCTGATACTTTTACACAAGACACAATGTGCACCACCGACGTTTACACCGATGTCTACCCCGACGGCCGGAGGGCCGAGTATCCTCAGTCCACCTTGTGCGCTGCCTCCCGCAGCGGCCATCTTTGCCCCAACCCCGTCATCTACAACCACCCGCCGCGCTCAGTCGGCTACCCTTCACCAGTGCCCATGTACGCTCCTGCTGGTCCATCGTACCCATTTCCCCAGCAGATGCCGCCCTCTCCTCCCATGAGCTCACCACGAGGCACTTCCTCGGGCAATGAGGGAGGCCGCACTCGTCGCGAATCTTCCTCGAGCGAGAGGAGGCACCGCCAATCCGGAGTATACGTAAACGGTCAAAGGGTATTGGATCTCAACCGTAAGCACCGGTCGCGCAACGAGCGCATCGTCATCGTCGACGCTCCTCCTACCCCGCGCACACCACCCAAGCAGTTCGCTTCACCTTACACCGCGCCGCCCTCACCCAATGCAGGCGGCGAGACCTCCCAGTTCCGCTATAGCCATGTCCGTCGCGACTCTCTTCGGCCTGTCATCGTCGATGAGCGCCCGCGGTCCAAGGTCGAGATTGAGGTTGTCGACAACAAGCACCGCCGCCACCACTCTTCTGAATCACGCAACAGCTACGCCAGCGCCGATGATGAAGAGCGCCGCCGCCGCCGCCACCGAGAGCACAAGGAACGCGAGGAGCGCAAACGCCAGGAGGAGGAGGAGCGTCAGCTCCAGAAGCAACTGCGCATTGCTCAGCAGAACGCCAAGATCGCCAGCCGCACCGCCGTCCCCGTCCCTCCCGCTCCTCTAAACCGCACTTCGACGGGTTACGGTTCCAGATACCAGGAGGACTTGGCAGACGCCATTCGCCGTATGGGAGTTGTCGACCATCTCATCTCACGAGCTGAGGATGAGGAAGAAGCACAGCGGCGCCGATTGCAGGAGCGGATGACACCCCACCGGCGGGCTACTGTGGGTCCGGGTACCCGGAGGCACCGTGTTTCCTACGATGATGGTTTTTACCGATGGGAGTAAACGATCCCTTTGGTGAATGCATTTACTGCTTCGAGTTTCTTAGTCATCCATTATCGATATGCGAGCTTTGCTCTTGATCGGTTTTTTTTTTTTTTGGAATTGTATAGATAGCCAGCGTTTCTTGATTTACATGCATGTACAATATACCACCCGAGGAGCGGATCGCCGGAACAGCGATTGGAAGATACCACCACAACAGGATAGGTTGGGACAACCATTAGATAGTTATTGAATCAAAACAACACAAGAATGATTCATATATACAATCCTACGTTTGCCGGCTGTGATCATTATGGTGATGCTACATCTTTGCGGTACATTTTCTCGTGATAAATGATCAACGTCGCGGTCCTTGTGATCGCATGCGCCTGCATGTCTCACTCCTGCCCTGGTCTCTGTTCGGATTTTCGAAGGCTCGGCAGCGACTCTGCTTTCTTCCCATCCCACACTTTTCGGAGAGAGATTGCGAGACGAGACATCTGCAAGCGACCCTTATCCGTGGCGTATTCTTGTTCGTTCGTCCCAAAGTTTTGTTGCTAGAGACATGCATGGACGATGAGGGAGAGTGGATGGGTGTCTGTGGCGGGATGTTGCGATGGTCTGAGTCAAGACACCACCACTTAGACACGAAGGACTGAAAGACTGTGCATCTGTGATGATTGTTTCCCCAAAGTTGAGGCTGGAAATTTGTATTGCATGATGCTTGCCGCGCAATGCGAGTATACGCATTACCAGTAGTTTTGGGCCGGGACTCTTCCTTTGCTCCTTCATGGCTGGTAGGACGTTGCGCGACGTCCGTATCGCGGGGTAAGTTCTGCCTAGCCTCACAGGACGCGATTGCAGTCACGATCCTTTGATGGCCCTGTAGCAGATCTCATCATCGCCAAGAACAACGGATCCCTCACGAAAAAGAGCGTCAGGAAGCCCCCGATGACCGCGCTTGCGGGAACTAGAATAGGCAACGCCAGGCAGTTCCGCCCAGTCGGCACGGGCTATCGGAGACAGAGTTGGGGAAAAGACAGCCCTGGGGGAGGAATTCACGGGTCATCCCTGTTGGCTGGGGTCTTGGGGACGGCGGGACGGGTCGGTGGGGTGTCGGGGTGTGGCCCAGTCACCGAGGAGTGACATTTACACACCTCAACACCGAGGGCTGCCGAGATCGGTGTGTTCGGTCAAGTGGTGACCGGCGGGGTAGTGGCCGGTGGCGGGGTTCTTGACGCACCAGGTGTAATACCGATTTTAAAATTGATCTTGATTCTTGGTTCAAGCATTGCTCTCTCCCTCTTTC